AAGGAAACAAATAATTTAAGCGAATTCTTGGGCAATGCTAGACCTTTAAGTTTAATCTTGGATTATAAATGACCATAAAAGATTCTAAAAGACTAGCGTGCACTCTTAACCATATAGCCCTTAATGCTGAGTCAATAACATCAATCTTAGCAAGGGAACTAGAATGCCAACTAAAGATTAGTGTACTAGAGCAGTGGTGTGCGGACGATTAAAGATTTACTAAGGACCTACACTTGCTGTCTTAAAGGCGATTAGGGTTCTAGTTGTGGTAACGAGCAAAGCAAAAGCCAAATTAATCGCATTGAGGGATATGAGCGAAGTGAATAAGGTATTTTAGAACTGCTTTATTCATTCACGCCCGTCACCTCACAAGATCAGAATAAGGAGGCAAGAGAGCAATGAGGAAAACACAGAGACAGGTATATGAAGGCAACAAACGAAAATTTTAAGGGGGCAAGGAAAATGGAGGAGAAAAATAATAGGCTAAACCAAATCAACTAGCCAACCAAGGGTGTCACGTGATGGGAGGAACTTAGCTACTTTTATTTCGCTATAGGCTGTAGTTGAGAATATTAACGGCTTCCCTTCCAACAACTAAAACAGCCCATAATAACTAGCTTCTAGAACGATAGCGCTTAAACTTTCTCCTATGTTCTCATATTCGATAACATTGGGGCTGCGATGGGCCTTCAAGAAGTAAACACAGTGTAGACGCGAGATAGCAGGAAAATCTAATCGAATGCCGTAAGAACTAAAGAAGACAACAAGTCAGGCCACTAAAAGCATCAGAAGCCTGCCCATCGGATGAACCACCTTTAAGTCCCGGAATTTGAAGTAGCTGATTTCATTTTTGAATCAACCTTTAGTATAAATGTCATGTTTAAGAAAGCTTCGAATGATGCTAAAGATCCACCATGGCCATCTGATAATCATGTTGATGAGAAACTTTTTATACTCTGCATTATGAAAAAGCACCTGAACGCGGAGAAAAATAAAGCTGTTCAATATGGATTAGGGGAATGTATGTTGGACTGCTTCATAGACAGATGTTCCAAATTCGAGTAATTGAATACGAAAAATGACAACAATCATGTACACCCTTCAACAAGAGATCAGTTCGTTGACATAAGCAATACAGACGTAAGGCATAAATTAGGAAGAGAATTAAAATAAGATATTGATTTCGTTAAGGGGAAATAAAGAGCAGTGTTTTTTAACAATGTCTTATTCTTGACAATTCGAACAATTAGCATTTGTAGTTAAAAGGTACGTAGCATCTTGTAATGGGGTACATGCGCATATTTTAAATTTATTGAGATCCCGAAACACTTATTTCCATGGTAGAGCTTTCAGCGAACACTCGCGTGCAATTAAAATGTCAGTGATCCAGTATTCTTGCATCGTTATTTCCCTCAAGGCAGAGAAAGAGAAAACGGAGACAAATCCTCAATGACTCCTTAAGACCTTAAAATGACCAATAATAAACTAAGAGCAATAAATAAACGAGGCAACAGATTCCATAAAAACCATGGCAGATTGCAAAACAAAGTACCAAGGTAAACAAATAGCATTATATTGATTATGGATTTAATAAGTCTTAAATTTTTTAAACCTCAAGTGGAAGTAAATTGACACTTCGAAATTTCCAACAGATTTGAAGGCGACTTTCCCTGATCATGCGTCGGATTCCCTAAACGACATGTTGGTGAGAATGGGATAGCATAATGAAGCTGGTGGAAACTATAATTGACGTTTTCTCGACAGATGCTTAAACCGAGCTGAAGCAAACGAACCATGCAATCAGAAGATACAAGGGTGAGGGGGAAACAAGTTTTAACCTGACAACTCGAAGACATCTCCCCGTCTAAGCAATGTATTCTCAGAGCAATGAGTAAATAAATTGCTCCCGAAGCCACTCACATGGGAAGCGTGCTTCCACGTTCAAAAGTCGATATGCTCCCATAGAGACAAGTTTTCAATCGTAATAAAGAAATATGCAAGTAATAAATGATTCAAGAAACACTCGTTTGAATTTTTAACATCTATCTTCCAGTTATAATAAACTCCATTGAATTTAAAAGTAAACAATGACATAATAGTTGTACCTTCAAAGATAAAATCAAATGTTTATCGACTGACAGATATTTCGTAAACAAAAATTACAAAGATATAGCACAAATAGACTATGAAACGCATGCTGTAACCACTAAAGCTGGTTGCAAAGCATGCCTAAGGGGTTGGTCGATTGAAAACAATGATAAGAGTCTATTTAAGGAGATGGAATAAATTCTCCTGCCGACGAACGTTGATGGTTTCCATTGAAGGAGTTTGGACAAGTTGGGATACTACACAAAAAACTTAATATTAGCCAATATCGACCATGGTAGTCACTAATATAACCTAGGTGGGCACTGAAATGCACTGATTAATGCTCTCAAGACTTAGGGAGAAGAATAGGAAAGTCTTGAATTTGATTGATAACCGCATTAACCAATAAGGCAGTAGGTGGGGATATGGACAAATTAATAAATGCAGGAGGAATAGTCAAAAATAGAATATGCTAATTTTATTAACTTTTCCATGACATTAAAAATGTTTACATTTTCTTACACTTCGTAATTGCATATTTCCTAGTCTCTTCACAAAGTGAATAAAAATTGCGGAATTAGATGCAAGTGAAGTAGACAGGTAATTTAAAAGTAGACTTCAATATATCCGAGTAATTAGAGCAGGACAAAAGTGTGGAGTAAAGGACAGACAGAGACACAAGAAAAACCGACAGATCAATATTACGTGGAAGCTATTTATAAGGCAAAAGCACAATCTCACATAGCAAATTGCTGAAATATTGCCCAAGTGAAAAAAAATGGTCTTCAGCATAATGCAAGAATGAATAGACGTTCTAACATGCCTATACGGTTATTAAGGTCAACAAATCATAGGGATGGGAAGAACGAACAAATACTTTTCTTATTACTAAACTAAATTCATAAGGCCTGAATTTAGAATTCCTTCCTAAAGGCCAGAATTAATCAATTACACACCACTTATCCACGCAGTGAATCTACCCAAAACAAATGAAAAAGCGAAAAGAGGGATCGGTGTTTCAGAGAGAATCCTTTCCTTATCTCTACCCCAATCTGAACTACTGGGTAATCTAGGCTACGCAAGTGTTAATATTTGCGTCAACAGAACTTCAATTTAAATAAAATCAAGAGGTATAATTTTCATCTTGAAAAATTGCCAAAAATAAACTCCTAATTAACCAGAACTTCGATGAAGATTGAACTCGACTGAAAATATCCACCCATTTGAATCTTTCAGTTAATAAGGCACACTTGATAAATGACACGATGAAGATTAGAAAGAAATCGAGAACTAAGTACTGCTATGAATTCAATTCTGTTGACACAATGACAAAAGCATTGGTGATCAGCAATCATCTTTAGTAAAACGACCAATATAGAAGGCACTGCTGCTACTATACGCATTTTAGTAGCAAAAATGAGAAATTATGGGACTTACGAGAAGAGTAGACTGATCTTATGGAGGAACGACATAAAAGGAAGGGCGTCAGATGACGACGAAATTTAACATCTCCTTTCTCCTCCATCTCAGAGGGTTGTATGCTGGCGACGCAGTTGTAAAACTTGTTGCAAAAACTGTAAAAAAGAAGGAAACAGAACACATTTAGAGGAACAATTAAAAGTGAGCTTTTGAAGAAGGTAAAAATTTCGGTAAAGGTAAGGCTTTCAAGAATTATCGCTTCACATCAAGCGACCGAAATAATTAAGTGCAGGGGCCCAAAAGGAGTTGTTGAATTTGAGTATTTTTAATCGGAGGGTGTTAGGAAAATTCTGGATAAAATGTATCGCTTCCATTCAAGGGGTGCTACTGACACTAATTAACATGTATTGTATATTAATTTGAACGAACACCGTAGCAAATACACCAAATTCAAAACAATTAACGAGTAAAAAGAGCCCAAAGTTTGGCTACAAAAAGGGCAAATTATTGTGTGAAAAAGGGTTGGAGAAACTAGACAGTAACCTAACAGGAACAGCAAGCAAAGGAAATGCACCAATAAATCCCTTCAATTTAGGATAAAAAGCACAATATGTAAGTGTTTGTAGGTACATGAAATGGAGTTTCATAGGACACTGGACAATTTTAATGATTTTAGGGAATAAAACATGCGCAGAATTTTGTGCTGAACTGAGTAACTCAAAGCTCAGAAATGACTAAAATAACTTAATCAATACCCAATAAGATTATTCCTGAGTAACGGCATAAAAAAGAAGATAAAAACTACTATAATCTTTAAAATCGAATATAATTTTCACCGGAACCGAGGACGCTTTTTATTGACGCAGCCACATCTCTTTAACTACACAAGACATTCAGAAACAGAGCATCACCAGTTACTACAGTTTCATTTAATGTGAAAAAAGCGCTCAGCCACAAGTATTGCCTTACACTGCTCTAACACGAATTTCCATGGGTTCGACTATCCAACTTGCGATAGTAAAATTAATCTTATTATTCTTGAAGGCCTCCTTAGCACCTTGGTGCAAGCAATTGTATACCAAAGTAACCCTTATCGAAGCTTAATTGAGGCATTTCATCCGAGTAGGCCCTTTTCTATACCAGTAGATTGTAGAATAGTTAAAGAGCAACGATGCATACGGTAAAAACAGAAATATTTAAAGATTTACTTCCACTTAATTACACCAATAGACAAGCCATACTCCCATTGTCAGATTAATCTTTAAGTGGGTTATTAATGATTGACAGTTCTAAGGTTTTATTCGGCAAGATCTAATAAGTAGGTAGATCAGAAATCACTTCCTTTTCAGCCCCTTACTAGTTAAATCTTTAAATCAAACTATATAATTGGGCTCTCGTACTGTCTGGTAACTATTTTAACTGCTTGCAAGCTCTTTATAAATGTAAATCCAGGTGTAATTTCTCCTCAGGTTCAACTTCGACATTTCCTGTTTCTACCACGCATTTATAAGGCTCTCTTCTCTTTGGCTCATGGAATCGGAAAGGAAATAATTGTCAAGTTCAAAACATACATAGATGATCATAGCGGAGCCTCCATTGACAATTGGCTGGGGCAAATCGCGGAGGGGACAATTCTCGACACTGAGGATAGTTAACACCGGACATTGTGACATCTCTGCGGGAATATTATTCAAATTATGGTTGTCGTTCAGGTAGAAATCGTGTAGGTTGGCCATGTTACCTATAGGCAAAGAAGACAAATATAAATAAATTCCCTCCTTTCTGCCTAAAAATAATAAATTTCCATGACACTATGTGGCTTTCAATAAGATTCATCCTTTATCTATTAATCCCGTTAATTTGTTAATAAGCCTACAAAATGAATGGCCAAATTAACAAGGGGAACGGAAACAACGAGGAACATATCCAGCTTGAATGAATTAGGAACGTATTAAAGGGGATATTGAAAGTGGCCTAAGATCAGTCTTTAACTTCAATACGTTCAGTGATATATATCACATATACCAACTTTCTACTCTACCTATGAGACAGACAGCCTATTCGTAATTTCATACCATTAGAATGGCAAGTCTCGGTTTTCTATGTACTTTGCACGCGACAAAGCTTGTAAAGAACTTCGCAGAGCACTCAACATATTTTCGTTCATTCTGTGGACACTTAACATGTTTTTTTTGTTGAAATTATATTCCTTACCTAGGACAAAAAAATTGAACAAGAGTCAAATCATGGCTATAAGGTATTAAATGGCTGCGAATAGGAGCCAATGGAAAGATTGTAACGCCTCGAATTTATTAGGGTAACCCGTGCCAAACTTGTGAAAGTCATCATCCATTTAACACCGAGAAAGAACTTGGAGACCAGGGTGTGAATGCACTTGATAAAAGGCCTCCCAAAGAAGACATCTGTCATGTATAGTTAATGAGTGATAAAATGATCGAGCTTAACACAAACAGAATTCGAAAATAAGGCAAAATTGGAACTTATCAATGAAACACGTCTACAGTGTGATAATAAGACAAATAATGTGCCAATGATTTCTGCAACCACAAAAGTTATAAATTTTGATGGAAATAGCCACAGGAATAAACATCATTGGGGAAATAGATACACACACATCAAATATAGTGGATAAAACGTTCCTTCATTTAAATAAAAAAATTGGCCGTTAATTCGCGTGCCCAGTTTACTCGTCCTTCACACCATTCATTAGGACTAATACCTGAAAAGCACCTTTAAAAATTAGCTTCTTTTATTACTTGTTGAGCTTAAATAGGGAAATTTCAGCTCTATGTTTTCCAATAAAAGTCTAAAATAAGAGCTTCATTGCCTCTCTACTTGGAGGTAATGGAGCCCATAAAGTTGGAAGAGGTCATAACTTTGCTAGCTTCGGGAACATTACACACTATTCTCCAAAGCAAGAAATATTCTTCCGCTATTTGACCACAGATGGAGAAACCACAAAATGAAGCACTGAAGGCAAAAGGACTCTATATGAAACCAAGACCTCCAAAGGCAACTAAAGGCAATACCAGTGAGCAGTGTGATTTCACTAAGAAATCAATGAGGATATTCATTCGGAGAAGCGGATAAGAATCGTACCTATTTCCGGGGGTAGTTCGGTAATATCGTTCTCTCCCGCCTTGAAGATCTTCAAGTCCCGAAGATTACTATAAACAAATGAGAAAATTCGTGAATGAAGAATAACAAGTAAAGAATAGGAGAGGGCGCCAAATATAACATCAGAACAATAAATTAATTGGAATGTAACCCCCCCCCCCACAAATGCACAATGAGGTAGATAAATAACGATACTTACTTCCTATTACATTCAACAAAGTCATCATGGCAAATTTAGTTTTACCCCTTCTCAAAAGTATTTATTATAAACAAACAATAGTGGTAGGGAAGTTAATAAGCAATTTATTGCTCAACCACAAAAAATGAATCATATATAATCAGGCAGTTTGTTTGGACACATTGAGTTAGGATTTTTTCCTATTCAAAACTCTGAATTTTTTATGCAACATTCCACGTCAATAAAATCCCAAATGTTAAAGTTATTAAACAAATATGATAAGCACAAGTCAGGCAACATTCAGACTTTTGATAGCAATAGACTAGTGCCACTAAATCTGGAGTATCTAGGAGATTTATCCCAATTCACTCAGCTACCAGCCCTGAGCAACCAAATAGGAAGACTAGAAATGTCTGTTCAACATTTATTTTATACTTTATGAAGACCTGTGAATATGGGAGAGGTTACCAGATTAGCATTCATTAGCGCAAATCTAATGACGTGGATGCAAAAATGCACTAGTTATTTTTAGCCCAAGAAAGGGCGAATAATGCGAATTTCTCCTCTCAGTGGTTACGAAATACCACCTCTCTACTTTAAATTATGTGTTACCAACGCTGCACCCAATGGGAATTGAACGATATGGTGATTAACAATACTTTGCATAACTGCAACAATGAGTCAACACCGATAGATCATAGAATATTGGTATATAATTGCAGGAGCGTCTAAGCCACTAAGAGATCCAAGGTAATTAGAGACTGGACGATAAGATGATGAATGATGGTTGCACTATTTTCGCGCCATTCGTTATTTTTACTGTCTGCGAAAAGTGTTGAAAACAAACACCCAAAGCACAGACCCATTCTGAAGTAACCAAATAATATTTACCAAGCTACTGTCAAGTTTTCTATGAGTACTCTTGAGTAGCCGAAATAGCGACCAAGATGACCATCTCTAATGCTTGGTTAATAATTTAATACCAAAGACACCTAAGATAGTCATAGAAAGTGTCAACCTTTCTTTTCGCCCAAAAGTAAAGGAGTTTCGAATTGAATAATACTGACCTAGGATTATTCCTAAACAAGAATATTTCAAGGCATAATGTAAGAATACGAATGAGATAACTTACCCTATAGAAGGTGGGAAGGTGGTAAGCCAATTACAACTGACATTGAGATCCTGCAGATTCACGAGGTCGCCAATACTCAGCGGAAGGGATTCAAGCTGGTTGGATTCGAGATCTAACACTCGAAGACGTTGAAGCTTGCCAAGTGTATTGGGAAGGCGCTATAATAAAGACATAACATATCTTAAAGGATACGAAAGTTCGACTGATAACACCTCAGTGCCAATAAGAAATAGTTTTATTAAACATAAGGGTAAATTAAAAGACCTTTGTTTATATTCACCACTTTGTTAGCAGACGCATTAAATAAGATTTAATCATTTAATGAGTTGTATACATGTACATCAATTCAACTGAAACTATTGAGCTTAGAAGACATTCCAAAGATAAACCTTAAGCACATTTAATAAGCAACACGCATAAAAAGTAGGGAAATTATTTCTTCCTTCTTAGCATAAACATCGGGAATAAAAAACTTAATTACAGCCTACGATAAACAAGAGAAACCAATTTTAAACAGAATCTCAACGATGAACCGACTGGAAATAAACTGTCAAAACTGTAAATGATCATAAGCCATGTGCTTTTTAGAATTGAGAAATACAATCCTAGGGCTAACATATCATCCCCTTCCTCATCATTCACTTTGACCTCCTTAATACCCACCCTAAGTTGGTTGTAGCTCAGCCGGAACATCTCAAGAGATTCAAGGGCCTCCAATTCTTCAGGTAGACTGGAGAGGTGATTGGATCCTAGATCAAGCTCCACCAACTTGTTCCAATGCCGAAGATCTGAAAAAAGCATGAAAAATATAAATTTGTATTTACTATTTTCGTGGTATCTCCATCACGTTTTCCATCGGAACTATTGGGACAGCTGGCAGATGGCCGCACAGACTAAAATAGGCATGAGATTATTCCCCTGCCCCAGCACACTCCCTTATCCACTAATCCTAATTAACTTTCAGTCAAATAGCTAAGCTATGAGTGTCTTCTAGCTACCTTCTTTGAAGTACCGATTGGAAGATAAACAGCAAAGACAGAGTGCCCACATGCTTACAACCCCCCCCCCCACTGGTGCTCTTAACTAGAATATACATCCATGTCATTAACTTATCTCCAGTTTGTTTGGTATGCTTTAGCATAACATCAAACATGAACGACCATTCAATTCTGAGAAGAAGTGAATGCTAAGAACTCGAAATCACTAAACTTCAAGAGCGAACTTCTTTTATATGACAGTAGATTTTAGAATTACCGAATGAATTATCGTTGTTGTTACATTGTTAACTGACTGATATGCTTTCTAAATCGGATGCTTCAATGACAACATTATAATGAATCAATTCCATTTGATCAACAAGAATAATCAGTTAATGTTGGCATTGCAAATACGATAGAGACAAAAATGTGTTGAGATTAAGAAATAGAGAAAGAGGCGAAATAAGTTTTTTAAAGTAAGGAAATAAGTATACTTCGAGTACGAATTCGCGCATCTTAAAATTTGCGACAGTGATGACTAGTTTTGAAGACAATAGCGAAGATTTTCACGAACGGAGGTCCGAATTATAGTGCAGAGACAAGATTATGTTGCATGATCTAGCTCTAATTTTTGATTATAGAAGAAAGTCACCACTCGAATTGCCTCCTGTCTGCGCAAAGCGTTTAATCGGTGAATGCAAGATATACATGTTAGAAAGTAGTTCAAACTCGCCAACTTCTCGTTGAGTAATGTTCACTTTAGGTAGTGGCGACATAACTGGCTCCTACTTTTGCCTTCCAACAGACTGTTAGAGTGAAGCGTTGTTCACTTCTTACTCACTTGTTTGTTTTAGAAAACCTATCTAGCCAGTCACCTATCGATTACAAATAAAGCGCAAGCGCAGACTGTAGTTATGCCCTTAGTTGTTCTCCGGCTGATTTGTTTAGTGAAAAAAAAACAGAAATTGCACCCATCCAACAATGGAAAATGGCAAATCTTAAACGAGCCACAAATCCGTTACCTAAACAATCACTAAGCAGTTTATAGAAAGCAAATGTCAAAGTACCAACAAATAGTAGCTTCTCTTTCTTAAAGGCATACCTTCAGGATGTAAGTTGGCAATTTCATTATCTCGAAGATTAAGTTTCGTCACTTGATGGAGATGAGAGAGGACATCTGGACGCACTACGGTAATTCGATTATGGTCCATGTTCAAGGACTACAGATGGGAAGGAGCACAGAAAATAAACAAACCACTTGAGAGAAATAAATAGAAGACTTAGGGGTTAAGAAAGGGGACCGACCGTGACATGACTGTACTGATCTCGGCCACCTGGAGGAAAGACGGAGAAACAGTTTCGGGAAAAGGTGACATTTCGAACTTGCGCCATGTTGGCCAGAAGATTTGTCTAAAAGAAGGCAAACAATCACGCGCTTGACAACTAGTGGAAAGATGCAAAGAAGTAGTTATAGATTCCAAAAAATGACAGCTTAAGCTCCCCGATATTTTAAGATCCAAGCCCATTTGGCCATTAGAGATAGAAGAGAAAAAAGAGCATTTTCTTCGGAAGACTGGGAATTTCGTAGACTCCTAGAGGTACAGGTGAGCAACAAAATATTTGAATGGGAAACCGCAGGTACTTCTTATTTGAGAGACTGTTGTTTTATTTCATTTGACTGTGATGTGGTAATGCAGAACAGAGAAAAGGTCTAACCAATCAACATTATAAGAGATATTTGTAAGAAAGATATCTCGATATATAGGAAAGAGAAAGGCAAGATAGAAAAGAAAAAGGAATAAAGGTATAGAAAGGAGACAAAATCTGAAGAGCTAGGCCAATAAGAATGAGAATATGGTATAGAGCTGAGCACACGGGCAAGCCATCTCAAGGTGAAGATCGAGAAAAAGGACGTTGAAGGTGAGATCATATTCCCACAAAAATAAACAACAACGTTTCAGCAAACATCAAATTTTTGCAAAAGAGATCAAATAGCTCGGTGGTTACCATAACTTAATTTCCCAAAATAGCAATAAACCTTAGAACTCAATAAAAAAAGCTAAAATGACATAAAGTAGACTTTGCTCCAAAATAACGCAAGAGAATAACCCTGTTGTGAATACATTTAAACGCATACAAATTTATATATGCTTAACAATAAATAGTTAATTTGGTTTTATTTTGGATAAAAACTATTCATTTTTGTTCAACACCTTCCGAGGAAAGCTGTTTTTAAACACGTTGGAGCTTTGGGTCAAATTTGAAACTTTCTCTAGGTCTTTTAAAGAGTCCGGAACAACGACAGAGTCCACGATTTTGATGCGTTTCTGGAGTTTCAAGATTCCAAAATGGAGGAAGACCACATGCGCCCAGACAGATCACCATTCGATCTGTTTTAGGTTCGGAAGATACGATTGCATTTTGAGAACAGACATGTTTGCTCTTGCGCGCTCAAATTCGGACATAAAATGGTGCGTTGTTCAATATTTGATCTTTAAAGAAATGGAAATCTCTTCCATCTTCTACTCATTGTGTAATATGAGAAGTTGCCTATTCGCATAATCAACGAGTTTCTCGTCCTGATCATTGAGATGCGGCTAAATGTGAAAGGGAGATAACTAGGTTACGGCAAAAGTCACCAAATCGAGGAGAAATGAACTAGGTGACATTCGGTAGAGACTGAACCCTTAGTTACCTACACAATTTGAATAAAGAGGGTAGGCAAAATAGTGGTAATGATCGCCTTTTCAGATCAATTCGATTCAGCCTAACAAGATGAAAGGTTAAGAGTTCGCTTTGAAAGAACTTTGCGCTGAGATCTCTGATTATAAAAGCTCCCTCTAAGACTTTTAAAAGGTTAATAAAACCTGATAAGTGATTCAGGGGAGGGAGCGTGAGTGAGCTGTATGTAAACCGAATGCAAAGAAAATCAACGGACGGAACGCTGATCTCTATTGCTAAGTTTTAGTTGAAAAAAGCAAACATTTTCTGCATTACTGGAGCTTATATTAATAATAATAATAACGACACGGGTAGGTAGTGACAGCTGACTTAGTTGAAAGCTTGAATAGCATCTAAGTATAAACAAACCAACGAGAGAAGTCAATATCATATTTCCGTCATCGTTTGAACACTTTGCTTCGTGTATGAAAAGCGATAAATAGGCAAGTATTAACAGCACTCACCGGAAGTGAGGAGAGCTGATTATTTTCGACATTAAACTCGTCTAGACGAGTACACTTGGCAAGGGATTCGGGGATCTCCACCAGACGGTTGTATCTAAAATGATAAAATGTAAAAAACAACCGTTTATTCGAAGAATAAATGATAGACGGATTTATATCAGCGGAACCAATAAAAGGCATTCTACAGGCAAATATTTTAAATTAGTTTGCATTGGGCAAATGAGTCAATGTTACTTATGTGGATCAAATTGCACTATATCGTCAGGAGCAGAAATGTCCAACTACAAAAGCAGACAGAGAACAAGCCTGATATTACGTTATGACTTTCCTTCAACAGAGACAGCAAGGCTATTGAAGCTATTACTGAAATTTATGTACAAGAATTTGGGTGCTTCCGTCACAACTCTCAGAGTATAACAAAGATGGGAAGAGAAACGTATTAATTCCTTTGTTGAGAAAACCAAGAATTCATTCACATTTTACACAAAAAAGAATAGTCAAGACAATGTTAGTGGAATAAGCACAGTGTAAGTTTCCTTCACTTAAATACTGCCCCTTTCTCTAACTCCGAGGATCCCGAGAACAAATTTTAACTTATAATTTAAGCTTCCGATACATTTTTGAATTTCAGAGAAGTCACAAAATCACTCTTTTCTCAACCCATATCAATTGCATACTGGCGGCAGCTGTTCAACTTGTATTTTAAAACGAAAATTGATTGGTCATTTTTGCAGAGGCTATATAACAAGGCGACCTGGTTTGATAACAAAATCTCATTCACATTCCAAGATCTCCACTTTACACAGTTTGAATGTTGGTGACCCTATCCTTTCAATATACATCAGAATAGACACAAGCCTCGAACTAAGTGACCATTATGTTAACAATGGCTGCAGGTCATAATAAAGGGGGAAACTAAATTTAAACGCGCGAAAGGGGAATAAGTCATAAGGGAATCATATTGAATTCAGGGTATCAGGAGTGGCTCTTTATTTAATTAGGTAATCAAAGAGTCGTCTACATTGTACTACCTATATATTTTAAAGCATAGTTTTATGACACGGGTAACCTGGCGTCCATATTCACATTCGAGCTTGTTGGCAAGGTGATCTATTTGAGTAGCTGGTCACGTCACTTTGATTCACGTGGGTCTTCTTATAGCCGAAACCTAGCACGTGTGATTAGCGTAGGCAAGCGTAATATTGCTTCCTTACATATCTACAATCATACATCAGTTCAAAAACATGGTGATGGATAGGAAGAAACACACACTATGTCATCCGAATGGAAAATCTCTTATTTCAATTGAAACCTAAATAAAATATTACATACGCAATTTTCCATCGAACGTTAACCAGAAAGATTTCTATCTAGAGCCTTCGAATTTCGCAATATGCTAACAAGTAAATATGGCGCCACGAGAAATCACCCTGAAAAAATTTGACTTTGTCTTAATGCGAAATTATAACTTTGCAAATATCATCGGAAATCGAAATAAGTTTTTTTTCAATGAAGTTATTGCTAATATAAGCCGTCAATTTAGTCGTTTTCATGAACATTTGAATTTTGTATAACAATGTGAAATTACTCAAGGCTGCTTTGAAGAACTTCCAAAATATATAATTGACAAAAATAATTAACTTGGTCCTCAAATCTACCTAAATTTATAATCAAAATCCAGCTATACTCTAGCGATTGTTAACGCTACTGAGGGAATCTAAGTCCATGTCTTAGATATTTGATTGAAAACCGGAAAAATCTTATTGCCATAGTTACTTCGGTATGTCGAACGGGGGGGGGGAGGGGAAACCAAGTGACAGACACACATTTGGAAGTTGGAATTCGATTCATGCATAACCAATCGCCTGGGATTTCTCCAACTTCTGGTGACTAAAATTATAGAATGCGTAGTCATGACATTTGGAAGACAACTCAAGGTGGCATCCGCAGCGCACCCACGCATTTAAAAGCCCACTGATCACAATAAGACACTGCGTAAAGAGAAGCTTGAGAAATGCGTAAAGAAAGCATTACCTATAGAACCACCATCTTATTAAATAGCAACTCACACTCAAATTTGGGATGAAAATTGGAATCTTAGTAATAATAATAGAGGCTACAGTTTTTGTAAAGTGTTATGTTAGTGTCCTGTCAGCGATAAAGTTAAAAGAAGTAATAGGCAAACCGAGATTTGTCTCGGGAACGGCAAATACCCGCATTTTTATTAAATTATGACAAATGTTCGCAAAGTTATTTTTTAACAAAATACAAACAACAGTGAAACAAATAGGCTAAATGAGAATATTATAAGTAACGTTCATGGCACTGTAAAAAATTTTACTCGTTTTTAACATGAGAGAACACAAGAAATTGTGCCACAGAGAATATGTCCAGTAAATCCAGGAGAAATAGAGAAAAGGCAGGTTATAACGAATTTTATTGTATCTTAATCCCAGAGCTTCGAATTGTCCACCCTCTTACGAGAAGAAGAGTTCTGTTACAATCTTCCCTGTCCTTCATTTACTTTCCGATTCGCAGAATTATATTTACGATATTCAGAGCTTAATGGCCGACAGATTTGCTACCGTTGTTGAGTCAACCACTTCAATTTAGCTGTTAATTTCCACAGCCATGAGCATGCTGATGAGATAGTCCAAATTCTTAACTTAACAGAGATCATTTAAAGTTAATGATTTTTAGCAATAAAGTAAATAATCAACAACCTAGGATACAACAGCAGATTAAGCCAGATGAAACAGAGAAAACATTTTAAAGGAACGGCGACTAAATATCTGTACCACATAGAAGAACAAGTACTTGTAAATTGATATTTTACTCTTGAATCCAATCACATAGATTAAATTTAATGATAGGATGAAATGTTGAGAGATATGAGAAAAGTGTAACAGGAATAGATTACTCAAAATCCCAAACAACATCCAATATAGTCCCTTAACTACGTTACAGTGAAAGTACGACAAAATAAAAGCACTTAATTAGATTATAAAACCATCTCCACATTTTAAGGACTCAAAAGGGGAAAGCTGTGAAGCCGATTCTATTCAGCTTCTAGATGATGCCAGGGTTTTAAATAATAGTAATGGACAGGTTATTAACCATTGATAGCAAAGTCTGCGATCAGAAAAAAATATAATACTAATCGTAAAATTATAATCAATAAACCCATAGGGAAAAGCTACTTTTAACGCTCGTTTTGGGTAGGAAATGGAATCTCCATGATAAGAGACTCCGATTATGCAAGTCCCTTAATTATCCTATTTTAATAGTTACGGACGGCTATTCTCCTCACTGACGCGAATCCATGACCTCTTATATAGCAGGCGGTCATGATAAGCATTGCACCACCAACGCACTTAGCGAGGGAATAAGCAGTCAAATCACAGATCAATCACAAGCTGTTCAGTTTCAAGGGGAAAAAATGTAATTGGTAAATATATTATTAGAAGGAAGTCATTGGGAAAGATTGCGAACCATTTTAAAACGAGAAGTCAATGTAACATAGCAAGATCACAAGCTGTTCAAATTCCCATCTACTTAAAAAACATTTTGGGATTTTAGCATAGCCTTTATTCACTCTTTTCAAAAAAGGAGAACGGAACCAATGGAAGAGAGGAATAGACACCAACATTTTCGTGAAAATAAACGCCCTTCTGCTAAACCACCTCACAAAAAGCAATTTGAGAAGCTTCGGACGTAAAGGCGCAAAAGCATTATAAATTAGCAAAAAACACCCAAAATAAATAAATGTGCACAAGTGAGGAAACAATTTCAAACTAAGAATAAATTCTGCCATCTAAACAATAAAGCAATTTGATGCTTCCAAGAAGAATCCAAATGCAATTTCTATTGGAGCCATAGCTTCGGAATGAACAGCCAAGAATCGATAATACTCCAACCATTTTGCCCCATAAAACTCTCGAAAACGTAACACGCACTTCTGCCTGAAAATTTATGGCTTGCCAGTAAATGAAATATGAATCATCAAAAAAGACGTTTTGTAAACTGGTCACAAGACTATAAATCTTGATACAGGCGTGCCTATTATCAGTTATTTAATGACGTAAACAGCAAAGACACTAATATTGGTAATAATAGATACTATTGTACTGAACTAGGGGACACGAATTTCATACGAAAACTTCAATATTCTTATGAGCATCTCTAGAAGTTTAAGTATTCAAGAATATGCTCCCAATGATCCGCACACAATGAAAGCATGGAAACCAATTGTTCTACAGCAGTAAGGGTTTACAGATCCTATAATGGAGTTTTGAACGTGTTAAGAAACTGAAATGATTTTTGAATAGAAGTAAAGTAACTCCTACGGCCAGTTGGGAATTTTTGCATCAATTGCATTGCATAGATCTGTCCAGACAGAAAAGTCGAATACTATCGCCGAATTACCGGACTAATCAGCGTGGTTGGCAATTCTGCTTACGAGGTGCGTGACAACAAACATCGAATTTGCAACCTCTGACTGCACCCGCACCACGCTATTATCCTCATTTAGTTAAATTTAATTATAAAATTTAAATCTTGAACTTGAAAATGGAGAATAACATATCAATCATTGTGGCGTCAAATAAATAGGGGATGCGAACTTACTTGAGCATTAGTCGATTAAGATGAGTGAGGTTACCAATGGTTTCGGGAAGATGAGTCAGTTGATTATAATGGAGATAAAGATCCGTTATTTGGGTGCACTGACCTAGACCTACACAAGGAGAAATCAACCATATTACAAAAAAGTTAATCAAGAAAGTAAGAATTTTGGAGAAAAAGGGGAGAAGACATACTATCGGGTAGACTTTGGATGTGATTGTAGGAGAGATCAAGTTTTGTGAGAAAAGCCAACTGACCGATTGCGCTGGGAATATTTTGTCGGATGGAATTCCGATTCGCTATGAGGATTGTGAGGCTCTACAAATAGGCATAATTCAAAGAAAAAACAGGAATCCGAGAATTTCTGCAACTCTGATGATATCTACTCTAATCAAATTCGACGTCGGCTCAAATCGTCGTCCAGAAGAAAAATATGTAGAATGAAAAATTGAATAATAGAAATATAATTTACCTCCTAATACAAGGAGGTAGACTAAAAAACTACTCCAAGACAATGGTATTGAAATATTCTTGAATATGAAAGGAGATTGAGTTAGGATAAGATTATAAAAAAGAAAATGACATCCATTACAACCATATATTCACTTACACGGTCTGTTGTCGGCTTGTCTCGAGTGAATCAATTGGAGAGAGGCAGAGTTATGATAAAAAGTCAGATACTATTGTCACAATTGGATCAATTAATAAACATCATATCTGGGAAAAGCGTTTACATTTCTTGAGAATTTTTGCACTATTTACTTTTTCTAAGACAAGTTAAAAAGTGTGAAATAACTTCCAAATAAGTCGCCACTCATGGAGCTGTCTACCATATACTTAAGTGGCCGGTGAAAAAATTCTTGATGGGCTTTGGCAGTCAAATAATGTAAAGCAGTGTCCACATGGAAACTAGCTAGTAATGGTGATGGGATGGTGGATCCTTGCTCAAAATGTTTTTGTAAGTCGAAGGAAAAGAAGAAGCCACAGTGCAAATCCGAATTGTGGTTAAGCCCTAGTTTGGAGTCTCTAAAATTATAGAAGATGGACCTCGGTTTTTTTGGAAGACACCCGTAGACAACGAAGTAAGTGAAAGAAAAAACGCTTAATCAGATGGTGTAGTGGTCAATAATGCACCTCTGTTGAAGGGTTACAAGATCAACTTTCACTGGCACATATCCAGTGAAGTGGACGTCCAAAGCAACTTAAATATGGTTAAAGAGGTAGCGGGGTGGGTGGTATAATATTAGTTTACAATGACTGGAGATCGAAGATATTTTCTCTCCACTCAAATTGAAAGAAGATAAATATTTCTTTCTAAGAACGTTGATGGTTATTAAGGACTAGCTAGGCAATAAAAAGATGGGCAGAATACATGAAATAAAGTTTTTGAAATAGTATTTGTAACTAAGCAATCAATTCGAGATGATTATGCGACAAAATTGAACTACTTGAAGAAGTAGCAGCGATGGGAAAAAGGGATAGGTCGATAAATATCGCAGTGTGAGATAACAGTAGTTTTTTACAAAATGACAAAAAAATCCTATTAACGCTAACCAGACGAATTGATGTTACGCAAAACCTAAGGCCGCAAACTCTATAATGGGTTGCCAAGTAGTTGACCAAACAACAAGTGAATGTTTAAGCACGGGGGTGTGCGATAGACTTACCTCCATGTGGTGCACCCTGGGCAACGTATATTCATACGGCAAAAAAGTCAATCAATGGGCAGTTGACTTCTGACTTCAAACTACCACGACCCCCCTGGTTGTCATATTCGACCCCTTTCTCAGTACTCACCTTACCTTTTTCTCTACCTTTGTATCTGCCTGCTTCTTTTACATCTGTGAATAGCTCTTCTGTTCCCCACCCCTCGACTTTCTGCTACTTTGATGAATCTTCCCTCTGTGAAGCCCGAAGTCAGCTAAATGGCTAATGATATCTATCAAAACGCTTGCCATT